CACCAGAGTGAGGGGAATAAGATGTGGGTATGTGCCATTAATGTATTAAGTATGTGGATTAAGAATGGCTCAGTTAAGCAGAAGCTTGTTTTGCTATTTACTTTGCGGCTGGATGACTGTAAATGCTTTTTGTTTTATTCTGCTGGAACAAACAGCCGGTTATTTTTAAGAACTGGATGTTTGTTTCCTCTATGTTGGATCTAATCCCCAATATATATATTACACATAGTAAAGAGCAAAAAAAAAGTAAACTGAAATATTAAAGTGGCCTTCCTGCCCTAGAATGTGCAAAAATAGTGTGAGCAAATACCCTTTCTATAATATCTAGTTTTATGTGTAGGTGTAAGGCAGATGTTCAGATCAGAGGCAACCATCATTCTTGGGTTATCTTTAGACTTCTTCCTCTCCACTCCTTCAGAGTACACCCTTCTTATCAAAGGCTACATCCTTCTACCTGTGTGGCTGTGGAGAAGAGGAAGTATTTGACAGCAAAAGGAGTTAGAAATATTGGTGGACAGCTCACACAACCACGTCTGCAAACTCCACCCCCCAAAACTTGTGTCACCACTGCACTTACCACCACCTCAGTCCAACTGCCCTCAACACCATAGCTGCCATCATCTATAGTCTGGTAGATCAGATTAAGTACTTTATTTTTAAGACCATACGCTTTTTGCTGCTTTATGTCAAGTCACGACATAAATTTGACTCCTTCTGGGCATTCTTCAAATTAAATTAGATGAAAGGTTTAAATCCACTGCACAAAAGGTTCAGGTCTTTACCCTAAGTCTCTTGATATACCTCATAGAAGGCCCTGTCTGCTGTCTTCGTACTTTTACTACTACATCTAGATGAGTTAGCAAGATACACACCTGCTCTTTAGGAAGCCTTAGTTGAACATTTTATATGATAAAATTACTTTTAATCCGGACCATTTGTTCCTGCTTCAAATGGTCATTAAATTTCATAAGGATAAAGAATTGTTTCTTCAATTCACCACTGCAAACAGAGGATTATGCCTCTTATCAAATCCTGAGGGTTTGGAGACAGAACCTCCATATACTTCGCTGCTGCTTCGACAAGTAAACATCTTAAACCAATTGAAACATGATACAAGTTTTAAAGCCTCTAAAACCACCATTACATGATGGATCTTATCACAGAACATTACAGAAAGTAGGGGATAAAAAAGACTACGTATACAGGAAATTATATTTACTCGTGGTCCTCAGAAAAGCACACCTAATTCTTGTTCACATTTTCAGTACATCTCTTTCAACGCCTCATGGGGCCTTTGCTCTATTTTGCAACTTTCTTAGGAGAAGCTAGAATTTATTATTTCCTGCCCTTTTTCAGCTGGATAACTCCTCTCTTGGTGTGTTGTTATGGATACTATGTGACAACCTATTCACTGGTAAATTCAGCTCTACTTTTATTGCTCTGGAAAGGCAGAAAAACCGGTTAGAACTTGGCTTTGGGTGTTGGAAGAAGATAAAAAGCGTATTTTGTGCACCGTGCTTGAGCAATAGGTTGTCCCCTCATATCCCCTACTGATCAGCTGTTTATCCGGTTCATTGCAGGTAGGACTCTTGAGTTGCTTCAGCATTTTGCACACGATGTAACTCAAATGTTAAAAGCCTGAAGCAAAGCTGGGTGCTCCTGTTTTCATTTGTGCATCAGTTGCACGAATGACAGCACCATTTTTTCAGCACACGGAGATTGGGATAGTTAATATTGGTGCAGAAAGGGTTTGCTTCAATAGTTATGAAAATAGCTTTAAAGGAGAACTATGGGGTTAGGGCTTTTCCCCATAGTTCTCCTAAGGGGAGGACACAAACTAGCGTCCTCCTGTCACCCAAAGCTCAGTATACCGCGAGCTAAAGCTGGAAAGGCTCCCGACAATTAGGTCTGGATCCGCCCAGCTGCGTGAGTGACAGCTGGCTCTGCCTATCTAGAGGCAAAGCCAGCCGTACCCTCCCCCGTCCGTTCGCCAGTCAGCGCTGAAGGATCGGACATGGGAGGGTGGAATCCAGTCCCTCCCCTGTCACGGCTCTCTGGACAGATAGATCGAGAAGTGAGCGAGCGCCGATATGTGTTCGATCACTTCCCGATCTAGTGAGCCGACCTGTGACAGTTTCATTGTCACAGGTCGGCTCAGATTATGAGGCTGAGTGAAAATCACTCACCTCATAATTCTCCTTTTAAATTAAAACTGATTGATCGATATGGATTAGTGTGTATCAAAAGCCAAAATGTTCTTTTTTTGCTGTCTGTGTTTGGGGGAAATTGCTCTTCATTTCCTGTCAGATATACAAGGAAGCATAAGAAAAAAATATCTACAAAGTGAGGTTGTCACAGCAACAAGTGTCACCATTGGTAAATTTCCCCTCTAATTCTGTTCAGGTGGCAACTCAAAATTGTGGATTTCACTTTCAGCCCCAGTAACTGTCTCCAGGACAAATGGAGAAGTCAAATATCCCCATTGGAGACACAGAGAACAATAAAATCCTGACAGGGCTACTAAGGCCCCTTACACATGAGCGGTCCGATCAGGTCCGCCTGTCAGTTTGTCAGCCAGACCTGATCAGATACTGTGGAAGTCTATGGGCAGCCGGTTTTAAACGGACGAGTGTCCGTTTACACCTGGTTAGCTCTGGCTCGGTCCGGCAAAACAAACGGATCATTGATCTGTTTGACCGACAGGATCATGCTGGACCAGAGGTAATCTGATGTAAACGGGCACATATCCGTTTACATCAGATTCCCCATAGACTTGCATGGTGTCCAGCACTTTCAGTTGTTTCCTCCATTGCAAAATAGGGGAAGAAACTGTACGGACACGGATGTCACAGCGGTGACATCTGATCCGTCCCGCTCTGATCAGGAGAGAATCTGTTGATGGCCAGTGTGAAAGGGGCCTAACTCTTCCATACTTAAGTACATCTAAAAAGGTTAAACTTTTTTTTTTAGTTTTGGTTTATTTACTAACATGAGGAACACTTTCATGCATTTATCTTTTTTTTTCTGCAGAGCAGGCAAAATATACACACTTGTCATAACTTTATTAACATGTAAATTGTGATGTGCTGTAAAAGTTGGAATTAGGTTTTACCTGCTGTATTTTTGTCCTAAGGCATGCATTGTCAATTGCAGAATGTCTTTATAGTTTAAAATAAAACGTTTTGAAGAAGAAAAAAAAGAAAGTAAAAAAAATCTATGTGGAGAATATGTTCTGTATGTATAACAACTATTAAAACATATTTTTATTGTAAGAAGCTTATTTGGAAGACTAAAGCATTTTCAGTGTAGGGTTTATGCTAGCAGCCTCAGAGAATCCAAACCTACAAAGTACTGCTGTCTTTAGATTATAACTGGTCATACCCTTAGGAAGAACCATTTGTATTTTTAATGATTGCGTGTCAGGAAAATACTATAGTTTGCTGGTTGACTGCTTATGCTTTGTGCTCATTCATACGTTTTACTGTTTGTTTTTCTAATCGTTTTGATAATGGAGTTCAACATAGGGCTTTTACCCCAAATGTTAAAGTAGCTTGATGCTTTTTTTAAAATATGGGTTTTATAAAACATAACAAAAAGTCTGTTTGTATTTGATTCAAACCGTACCTGTTGTGGAGCTAAATTGTCTATACCATCACCACAATCTATTGCAAGCACTTCAAGCTATCTTCTACTTTACTCTGCATGTGGAATGCCTCAGGAGCCCTGAAAGTCTAACTACTATACAAATATCAGCTTCAACTAGGGAGCTGATACACTGACCTGCACATTCCCCATCATTTGTCAGTGAGGCTGCCTATCATAATAAGAGCCAATAGTGATGCACAGGGTAGGAAAGGAAGCATAGGCCAAACTACTGACTTCCTACTGAAAGTGACCCAGTCACAAAAGTGAAGACTCTTAATAAAGCATGTAAATATTAAAAAAGAAGCAGACTACTTGCCTCTCCTCTGTGCTTCTAAACGTCACTCATTTGATGAAGAATTGTCGACTGACTCCCGAGAATGTCCATCTCCTATGTTCCCTGAAACGTTAAGTGGTTCTTTCAGCTGACCTAAACGTCCATACACAAGAAACTAGGCAAGAAACTAAAGGGCATGCATGCATCTGGATTGCAGTGGGAGGTGAATTGTTTTCTGACCACTACAGTTATGAATTTGTAAATATGTGTGTGCATGTGTCTATCTATCTAATCTATATATACACTGAGTGGCCAGTTTATTATGAATACCTGACGTTTGTAGGCAAATTAGCTATCATTTCGAGCTGAGGTTGCTAGAGGTCCAGACCATTATAAATAGGGAAGCAGGTAGTTTACCACGACAGTAGAAGTGATTTTTTTCTGAAGATATGGGTAAACAACGCGATTTAACAGCCTTTGAACGTGGGATGATTGTTAACGCGAGCCATGGAGCGAGTATCAGCAAAACAGCAGAATTTGTTAAATGTTCAAGAGGGTCTCATTGTTAAAGTGTTTAAAGACTGGACTGTCAGCCGAAAATCTGGGTCTGAATGTGGGAATTGTGGCCGTCAGCGACTAGTCAATGTTAGGGCAGAACGGAGAGTGGCAAGACTGGTACAAGACAACAGAAGGGCAACAGTGCAGTGTCAGATTCCTCGCATCACCTTTCAACATCTCGTGGAGTCACGAGGCGGCCCAACAAAGTCATCTCGTGGAGTTATCTCGTGGCCCAACGAAGTACTGATGTGGTGGTCATAATAATCCAATACTTACCTGGCAGGGGAGATACCATGATCACGATGCTGGTTCTCCCAGGGCGAGGCTCATCCATTGCCCCACGTGTGTGCTGACCCCTGCGATTTCCCCAAATGCGGGAAACTCGACTGCATAATTTGTGGACCTGCGTTCGCGCTTTCCCCTGAAAAAAAAAATAATAATCTGGCCACTCAGTGTATATCTATGATTTGACAGCTAAAGAATATTTATAATTTACATAAACATATTTTGTTACCATCCACAGAAGTCCTTGGAGCCCCAGAAGGTGTAACAAAGATCCTACCATACCAACTTAGGTAAGTAAACAGTATTTCTCCCCTTTACAATATTTCTTTAGTAACTGATCCAGGTTATTTCTGTATGTAAAAAGTGTTGTTCCTTATAATTCTTTTATATTTTATTTGTGTGAGTGATTGTTTGAAAGCGCATTGTACTGTCCTAAAGTGTTTTAAAAGTGGTCCCTATCAGGTGACGTCATCTGTGGTATAGAATAAAATTTTCTGAACCGAACAGTAAAAATTTAGAAATAATAAAAAAAATGTATTTTTGAGTGTATGGGGTATTATTATTATTATTATTATTATTATTATTATTATTATACAGTATTTATATAGCGCAAATAGTTTGCACAGCGCTTTACAATATAAGGAAGACATTACAGTCACAATACAATTCAAGACAAGATGGTAAGGAGGGCCTACAATCTAAAAGATGAAGTGTTAGTATATTGAATGCAGTTATTAAAAATGGTTTATAAAGTATATCAATTTCTGTTCTGTGTAGTCGCTATGAAGAAAAATGTCAGAATTAGTTGGTGACATCCAATAAAAACAATCACAAGCTGTAAATCTTTACCATAAATATACCCTTTAATCCCTAATCACAGTCACGTGTCATCCCTGTCATGGACTGCATACCTGTAATGCATATCACCCATTGGGCTTAATTGTAGAGCGATTTAAGAGAGAAATTGTGGGGTGGATACTTGGTATAAATGCGGAAACTTAGTAAGAGAGGGGGCTAATTACTCAAGTGAAATAAATCTGTATTTACTTCCAATCATGTGCAAGGGGAGAAAATATAATGGGATTGGCTCAATTTAATTTATTGTTTTGTTTACATATACATGTTTTAATCTGTTTTATATTTTTTTAATTATTTCAAATCTTTATTGTTCAAGTATAGATTTAATACTGAGTGTACCAGTAACATTGGATTTGCATAGCATTCTGGTTTTTTTCGAAAGAGAGAGCATGGCTAGTAGCTTTTCCTTTTTAAGCCTGTATTTTACTAATTTAAGATGTATAGAATGAAAGGGGAGGGGGTGTTGAGTCCCTTATTGGACTAATGCAGCCCTGTGTGATGTTTGAACTTCAGACTTTCACCTTTTTGTAAACGGGTATTTTTCAGCAAGGCAGTTAAGATTACTCATGTGAAAAAGAGATGAGAGAGAGAGTGGCAGACTGCCCTGCCAGGATCCATTTACACCTGAGCTGTTTGTCGCTTGTCAATCAGTGCGACAAACGGCTCAACACCAGGAATCCCATTTATTTCTCTGGCCCCTGTGCACATGTCAGTGTTTTGTTGCAAGCAGAAATACGCCCGTTGTGCACAAAATACTACATGCGCTACTTTGGGGCAAATTTCAGTGCGTTTTGTCTGATAGACTCAATAGAAAATGGTTGAAAAACACACATTGCGATTTTTGTATTTATTTATTTTGTGCACGTTTTGCCCAGTCACATGGAGGTGGTCACATAAATGCGCAACTTCATATACATGTAAAACGGACTAAAAAGGTGCGTGGAGTAGGTGTCACCTAGGTGTAGCCTAGCCTTAGAGAAAGACTGTTGTGTGAGAAACTGCCCTGATAGAGACAGACTGACCTTCTAGAGAGAGATCTTATTTGATGGCAGATGCAGGAAACGGGTGGTGAGATGGAATGCAAGATATTGGGTCGATAACACCCTCCACTATGCTGACTGCATATGTGATGCACCAGATGTTTCTAAGCAGAGCGGGGTTGTCCACACAGTAAGGACATTGTATGTGGAGTGGCTTTGACATCCCCTCTACTGCGTGGTTCCAATACATAAGAAGTCAGAAGTAATATGGCCAATCAGTGTAGCAGACTCAGCATGGCAAGGTTGAGCAAAATAATTGGAATCCACAAGCTAATCTGTCAATCTAGGAGCCAGCAGTATGTTTCTAGGAGCCAGCTCCATTGACCACAACTAAAGAACACCTCACAAGTCAGGCGCCAGCTGTAATTTTCTAAGGAGCATTGGCTACCTGGCAGCTGGTATTTGTCCAGCCCTGCAGTATGATCAATCCATGCAAGCTACTTGTGAAGTACCAGTGATACCTTTGCTAATGCTACACATTGGAGATGATTTCCAACAAGATGTTGATACATATCACTTTTGACGGGAATGGGTGGATAAAAATTGAGCAGAGGTGAAAGTAAGGAAACAGGGTAAAACTCCTAATACATATTACAGGTGTAACTGCTGGATGAACATGAGGGTACAAGGATGATGACTGAGATCTGGTTGCAGATGATGGCCATTGGGGGAAGTGTTTTATGGAGGGACAGCATAGTTACATAGTTAGTCAGGTCGAAAAAAGACACATCGAGTTCAATCTATAGAGATAAGAGGAGAAAAAAATTGCAATCAATCTACAGTTTTGCTTGTTAGGAAAGGCCATCTTTCAACATAAAGTTTGGTGAAAAAGAAAAGAGATATGAAAACTCACCTGGAGATATTTCGGAAGACTTCATCCATACATTTGGAACTGTCTGCTCAACCTTCTATATTCTACTGCGTTTACCCCTGTGAATTTATGTGGGGGTTTCAGTGGCTCTTTAAATATTTCAGTCTACAAACTGTTATGGCTTCCTTTTGTATTGCACCCCAGCTATAATGAGTTTTGTCCAGTTCTCTTGCTTATGCGCGTCCTCTTACAGATGACCATTTTGGTATAGCGTGGCAAGTGAATATACCCAGGTGGATGCCATTCGCTCCCATAGATAGCAATGATGAATATAGTAAATTCCTATACTCATCAGCGCCATATAGGAGCGATGGGTGCGTGCGAACCCGTAAGCATTTCAGACCTTATATTACACTTTTTATATCCATTCCGGCAACATATAATAAACTTGGTATGAGTATAAGTCCACATCAAACAAGTAAAGTGTCTCTCTTTTCATGACTTGTAAAAGTGGACTTTGCATTCATAATGCCATTATTTTGTCACTGTCACTGTCCTGCTTCATTATTGTTGACCTTCCAGCCTGCTGGCTGGCATATTGTACATATCCAGATTGCTGTTTATGAAAACAACAATGTACCCAGTGATGGCTTCACTGCTTTCTTATTACTCAGGAGAGCCATCGGTAGGTGTGTAAGAAATATCAAACTAAATGCTTCTGCTGTCCTGTTTCCTGTCTGCTGAAGGAAACTATTAATGCAGTTTCCCCAATCTTGCCTTTAAAGAAGAACTCTGCGGAAAAACTCTTAACCCTTGCAGTGGGTGGCATTAAACCCTCAGATTTTTTAACATAAACCAATACTGTAATGTGTGCCTTACTGTAATCCATGGTTGTTTCCCTTCTCTTTGCTGCTCTTCCTTTTAAATCTGTATCTCTTCTCATGCTTGGGGAGAACTTCCCTTTGCAGCTGAGTGCCTCTTCCTGTAGTGCTGGCTCAGGTTGCAAACCTACACACAGACACCATGTATCCCCTTCAGAGACAAGGCAGTCTGCTGCAAAACAGAAGTTCTGCCCAGCATGAGAACAGATACAGATTTAAAAGGAAGAGCAGCAAAGAGAAGGGAAACAACCATGGATTACAGTAAGGCACACATTACAGTATTGTTTTATGTTAAAAAATCTGAGGGTTTAATGTCACTTTAAGTGTTCATTTTCATCTAGGGGCAAAAATAACAACAGTTCTACTCACCCGAATCTCAGAGCCAGCTGGCTGTTAGACTGGTCCCTGCAGCCTCTCCTCCCGTCCACTCCAGTGGTCTAAGGTCCTGTGAGTCATTATGTCCCACACAGGATGCCGAGAGACATTACATCGCAGCAGCAGAGGAGGATAGAAACTGAAGGGACCGGTGTTACAGCCAGCTGTATGCAAGGCTCGGGTAAGTATAACTTTGTTATTTTTGCTTCTAGACAATACAAGCACTTAAACCTTCCGGTACGAGGGTAGCCCCTCTGCAAGTGTTGAGATCATTTTTCCTTGGAGATCTTCTTTGAATCAGTCAGCAGCTATTTAATAGATACAGTCCCTTCAGACCATAGGAAAATAGCATTAATACAATAATGCCAGGTAAATCAGCTGGCCTTTTTAAAAAGCAGCTCTAGACAAGTGGAATTGGTGATCTGCCAATGCTATTCACGTTGTAACTGTGCTAAATTAATAGACCAATACACTTGCCCATACCTCCCAAATGTACCTGATTTGCAAGGACTATCCCTCATTTGGAACCAAATCTCTGTCCGTCTTTCCTTCTCAGTTGTCCCTCTTTCTGGTCCGATGTACAGATATCTATGAAAAGTTCTATTTAGCTACATGCGCACATGCTGTTTAAAGCTGAAAAAAAGTAAACAGTGCCTTACATTGTAGCCATCACTTCAGCGGATGCTAGACGCACGGTAAAATGCTGTATTTTACCGTAGGGCTAGTGTGAACTGGCCCTTATAGCTCATGAAACAGGAAAACCATAGACCGCTAATATGTGTTCCCTTCCCTGCATTCATTTCAAGGCTGCAGTTTTGTCTGCAGTGCATCAATAATTTAGACGCTGCAAAATGCAGTGACCCATAGCTTCTAATTAGATTTCAGGTTGCTATAGTCGGGTCAGTGAAAGGTTATTATGTCGGGCTATTTTACTTTGCACATAATGATTTGTACTTTTCATTGTCTCTACTAATAAACCTAATTAAAGCTGAACTCCAGGAACAAAACATGGTTTTTACTTTAGATTGGTCTAACTTAGTTACATCTAATGCTGGGTATACTACATCCAGAGGGCTGCTGGGGATGCTAAAAATCTTTATCTTCATGACACATTTCCTGTTAGCTTTGATCTTCCAGGCTCTACTGCTGAAATTTCTGGTCTCATACAGTGCATTCGCTCTTCCCCTTCCTCCCCCTCACTCATTGATACATTATCTTGTATTCTATATACACAAGGCATTCTGTGATTGGTCAAGGGGAGAGGAAGGACAGATGCCAACAGGACCACCCCTTATCCAATCACAGAATGCCTTGTATTTTTGTGCAATGAAAGGGATGTTTTTATTACATATTTCTCCTCTTTACCTATGTTTTGTTTCGGACAAGGGTAGAGCTGCAGCTAACGATTATTTTCAAAATCGATTAGTTAGCCGATTATTAAGTTCGATTAATCGGTTAATCGGATAAACTATAAAATAAAGTTTAAAAAATGGCTCCAGTGATGGGACTACTAGTTTGTATTGAGGTTGTAGTCCATCACAGGAGCAAGCTTGGACCGGTGGAAGTAAAAAAGAAAAAAAGATAGTGTGGTGTGCAATATAGTGAAATGGAAAGTGTAAAATTATACAGCAATGCATGCAGAATGGCAACGGTTATAGAGGACTACAAAACCCAGCAAAAGCACATTATACAGCACAATGCAGAATACCGCCAGCTATAGAGGAATACAACAAATCCCAGCAATA